TCTTAACCATCTGTCTTCTTTTGAGAATTGTCTGTTTAGGAATATTACCCGTTTGTTAATCAGGTTACTTCTTGTTTTTGCTATTGAATTTTTTTAGTTACTTATATATTCTGAATATTAAGTCCTCATCAGTTGTGTAGTTTGCAAATGTTTTCTCTGATTCTATAGATTATCTCTTAACTCCATTGATTACTTACTTTCATTGACTAGAAACTTTTACATTTCACGTAATCCATTTTTCTGTTTCTGGTTTTGTTACCTGTGCTTTTAGGATCTTGTCCATAATATCGTTGCCCATCCTAATGTTCTGAGCATTTCCATTTCCTTCTAGTAGTTTCATACTTATAAGCCTGATGTTTAAGTCTCTAGTCCGTTTTGAGTTGAGTTTATCAACTGGTGAAAGATATGGTCTAGTTTCATTTTCCTGCATGTGGATATCCAATTTCCAAACTTATTGAGCAAAACAAAACAAAATTGTCCTTTTGTCAGTGTGTTTCCTAGCACTTTTATTGAAAGTCAGTTGGGTATGAATGTCTGGGTTTACTCTGGGCTGTCTATCTGGATCAACTGGTCTATATGCCTGTTTTATGCAAATACCATGCTGTTTGATTACTACAGCCTTGTAGTGTATGTTGAAGTCAAGAAGTTTAATGCTTTTTATTTATTTTACTTTTTGCTCAAGGTAGATTTGATTGTTTGAGTTTTTTGTGGTTTCATATAATTTTTTCCTAGTTCTGTGATGAATATCATTGGTATCTAATAGAAATTGCATTGACTTTTTAGATCACATTCTGTAAAATGGACATTTTAATGATGCCGATTCTTCCAATCCATGAATATGGGGTGTCTGTTCACTTTTTTTTAATCTTCTTTCTTTTAGGGGTTGGACAGTTCTGGGGTTTGAACTCAGGTTCTCACACTTGCTAGGCTGGTTCTCTAACACTTGAGCTATGCCCCCAGCTTTTATGCCTTTTTTTTGTTTTGTTTTAGTCTTTTTTTCAGGTAGGATCGTGAGTTTTTGCCATGGGCCAGCCACAGACAGCAGTCCTCCTACCTATGGCCTCCTGTGTGGCTGGGATTACAGATGTGCACCACACCCTGCCTGTTTGTTGTGATGAGATTAGGCTAATTTGCCTGGTATGCTCTTTCACTGAGATGTTTCTGATCTCCATTTCCCAAGCAGCTGGGATTGCAGGTATGAACCACCATGTTCACATATCAACATCTTTCATCTATGTTTTATGACTTTCATGCTAAAGATCAGTGGGGGGATTGATATCTTTTAATTATAATTTTTCTTATCATCTGGATGTTGTCCATTTATTCAAGTCTTTCTGAAAATCTTTTAGGAAAGTTTAAAACTTTTTCTATTTGCAGATCTTGTGTAATGTTTGCTGAGTTAATTCTTTGGTACTTTTTATTTGTTCACTGTAATGAATGACATTTAAAAATGAAATCTGGCCGGTTGTTAATGGATTAGAAAAATTCTGGTTTTGTGAGTTAACTTGTGTTTGGAAAATATGCTGAACTCTGTTGGTTGAAAGTTCTTTTGATTTTTTGGTTTTTCATGTGGGCAGTCACCTCTCTGACTAATGACAATGGTTTGACTGTATCCTTTCCAAGTCTCACACCTCTTTGCTATATTAAATAACAGGGATAACAGTTGTCCTTATGTTGTTTCTTATTTTAAAGATAGCACTTAAAATTTCTCTATTAATATGATATTTAATGTGTTTTGACCATTATGCATATTATCATGATTAGGACATGGCTTATTATTCTGATTTTCTGTGACTTTTATCATAGTTTGTAATTTTTATATTGAGATAGTCATGTGACTTTCTAGCCATAGTCTACTAATATAATAAATTATGCTGACATATTTCCTAATATAAAACCATCCTGGGAATTTTTCTGCTTTATATCTATAACAATAAGACTATACTTTCATTTTTTTATGTACTCATTTCTTGACTTTGAAATTAAGGTAACATTGGCTTCAAAGAAAGAGCTTAATAAATTTATATTTCTCCTTTTAGAACTTATATAAAATAGAGATTTCTACTCTTTATGTCCTCTCAGGAGAAATCTGTGATTTCAGTGTAATAGCTTTTAAAGTTATTGGCCAATTCAGTTTAAAAAATTTTATGGCCAATTTTCATTCTAATAATTTTGTCCATTTTATTTAAGTTTTTAAATTAATACATGATTGTTCATAATGTCTTATTTTTACTATTTGTCATATTCACTCTCACTTTTTATTCTATATTCTTCTTATTTTTATTTTTTATTTTCATAGCAAATCTTGCCACAGGTTTGTTGAATTAATCTCTGGACCATAATCTTTTTATAATCATTCAATTTTTATTCCTTTTTATTGATATCTGCCTTGAATTTTACTTTGCTTCTTCCTCATTTTGTTGAGTTTACTGTTTACTTCTTTTGTTCAGCATCTGTATCTGATAATAATGGTCAAGGTGATATATCAAATTTGTGTGAGTGCTCCTGTAATCCTGCTCAAGATTACAAAGCATCATTTAAATCATGTAAGCAACTATTTTTTTTTTTGGTTGGTACTAGAGTTTGAACTCAGGACCTCACACTAGGCAGGCGCTCTTACTGCTTGAAAAGAAAGCCAGCCCTTTTTTTGTGATGGTTTTTTTTTGAGATAGTGTCTTGCTAACTATTTGCCAGGGGCTGGCTTCAAACCTTGATCCTCCTGATCTCTGCCTCTTGAGTCACTAGGGTTATAGGCATGTGCCAGTGCCAAGCAGCAATTTCTTTTTTCACAAAGAATTCTAAAAATACTTTCTTTACTTCACAATGGCAAGTAATTTCCCCCTTTTCTGTTCACTCTTCTGAGTCCCAAGTCTCTACCTTTTCAAACCCTTTGTAAGTTGTAGTTACTAATATAATTTTTTCCCTTTTGTTTTTAATTTATGTATTTCATTTTAATACTTTTATTTCGGTAGGCCAAATATTCTTTGGGAAGTTTAAGACTTAAATTTTATGTTTATTCTCCTATGTTCTCCTACCTTATTAAAAACAGCACGTATGTTCATTTGTGATGCCAGAATTCTTAAATTTTCTAACATCCGTAGTTTAGCATAATTCTCCCCACCTCTCATAATCTTTTCTCCAAATCTCTGTTCCCCTTCCATGTACAGCTGAGTTAATTAATTATTTTATTACAGATATATTATGGGACCTTGTTTTATAAAAGGCTGTAATAAATTTTGGTATATGATTTATCCTTTTCTAGGTATCTTATAGACTAATCTTCTATTCATTTTCCCTTTTACTAGAATGTTTTGGAAAATATTTTCTAAGAGAGGCTTTATATAATAAAATTTCAAAGGATTATATGCTTAATATCTCTATTCACTCTATCATTTTATAATACTTTGATCATAAAATCTAGGTCCAAGACTTTCAGTAGATTTTTTGAAAAATCAAGGTCAGTAAAATATCATTTACCCACTTAAAAAAACAGTAGAGAAAATTTAAAATTAAGTGAGTACATAGCAAAAATCAAGGATAATCTAATAGAATAACATACATATTTTTAATGAAAAGCCATATATGAGAATGTTTATAGCACCACTATTAGATATAAACTCAATGTGTAAAAACACAAATGCCTATTGACAGGTATGCTATATAGTATTTATATACTGGGATAGATTATGACAATAAAAATAAAGAAATTATGACTGTATGCAATAACATAGCTGTATTTTTCAAATCTACAAGTGGGTGAGAGAATTCAGATTCATAATGTATTCTATGAAGAATTTATATAAAATTCAAAAGCATGCACACCTGGTCTATTGTGTTACATGTAGCAGTGTGGTTACCCCTTGTGGGAATGAGTGTGGTAATGACAGGATGGCACAGCAGGCTCTGGAGAACTCCAATTTTTTATTTTTTTAATCTGGATTCTGGTTATGTAAGTATATTTCCTCTAAAACAGTTAAAATTATGTAGTAAACAAGCATGAACTTTATGAAAAACATTTTAAAAGATTTTTTAAAAATATACCAGTGCAGCAATTTTTGTAAAAGACAAAACAGAATTCTGTGCTAAATCGTGGTTGCAGGGTCTGAGGGGAGAAGGAAATCAGCTCCTATCTATTAGTAAAGAATACAATTTAAGTAAGTCCTAGAGATCTACTGAAGAGCACAATTCCTGTAGTTAACAATATCGTATTGTATACTTTGAATTTTGCTAATAAGTAGATCTTATGTGTTCTTATCACAAAAAATAATAATAATAAACGGAGTGAGTAAACTTGGAAGGGATGGATTTGTTTATGGAGTAGGTTGTATTTATGGTGTCACAGGTGTGCAATGGTCCTGAAGCTGTATGCAGCTGGATAGTATATCAACACATAGACATCTATCACTGTGAATCCTTGCAGGAAAAACTTTGTTGCAACACCTTGTCAGATGACACTGGAGGTAAAACATGAAAGTCTTTAGAGGGAAATATGTCATTGATCTCTTTGTCCTTTTCGTTTAAGCCCAGAGGACTCTGGAACTTACTGAAATAAAATGAATCCTCATCATTACTGCCAGCGCAAGGAAAGGCTTCAGTAAGGAGAAACCCTGATCACATCATAAACCATTACAAAATCTAGGGCTGGAATATGTAAGTTGATTCTGAATAAAAAATAAATGTAAATTTTTTCAAGTATCCTTTGGTTAAATTCACCTTGAAAACATGTCACTCCTTCAAGTCCTAACACAATTATTGGAACAATTCATCTCCCCCACCTCTCATCCCATTGTCGTTCTCAATACATGTAACAGAAAAAAGTTATTTTTCCAGACACTTTCTCAGGTTTCCCACTTACCCCCTGTGAAAAGCGGGAAATAGGTGACTACTATTCGGGCACCCTCTTGCGCTCCGCGTGAGGACGGGGATGGGAGGAGGGCGTGGGTGGAAGGAGGGTGGAGAGGAGCGAGAGGCGGAGCCGCCCTGTGCAGGGTAGGGGCAGAGGCAGCTCACCGCGTCCCTGTCATCGCTGGATGCGCACCATGATCGTTGGAAGACAGCAGGGCCCTTTCGTGCTGCCGGGAGCTGGAATGGACAGCCTGGTGAGCGGAGCCGGGGATGGGAGGACGCGCAGGCTGGGCGATGTCCGGCTGGTGGCCCTGGGGCGCGCAGTGTGTAACGAAATGCGCCAAGCTGCGTCTGGTCCCAGCCTGGCGCGACTCAGGGTCCATGGGGTGACAGCCGCGCTCTTCTAGGCGCTGCACCTGGGGAAGAAGCTGACCTTCCTGTGTCCTTCTCAGTCCCAGTGTCCTGGGCTTCAGAGTGACAAGATCAGCGCTTTCCTCCGGTAGAACAGAGGCTGGAGGCAAGTGCAGGGGGCTGCAGTTCCCTTGGAGAGGAAAGCACATCCTATTTAAATGGCTCCCAAGAAGGTGATGAACAGTGGCAGGGATGCCACTGTTCAAAAGAACTCTTTCTCTCTTTGATGTTCAGCCCTTTGCAGCATCCTCTTGGCCTTCTCCTTGGGAAGCCATGAAGGATCCAGTAAAACTACACCAAGGATTGAGAGAGGATTGAAACTCGCTGGGATTGTGTTTCATGGAAGGGTTAAAACCCAGAATATCCAGAGACGACATTTTGTTGTTTTGATGTTTACAGAAAAACATCAAAGATGAGAGTGATTATACACCTCATAGTTATAATTAGGTAAAAATCCAAATACAATCAAAGCCTGTCAAGGTAATACGTTCCTATTACAGCTCATGGGCAAAACCACATAGCCAGTTATTTCATTGTCTTTCTCATGAACAAAGGAGAATGGTGGTCTGTGAGCTAGTGTATACTACTGCTAGTGTTCACATTATCCTTCAGCAGGGAATTATTGTCCTATCAGACAAACAAAAAATAGTAGAGAGATTAATTTTCCAAAGTCCTTGGGGCTTCATGGGACGGCGGTCAGAATATTGATATAAAATGTCTAGGGAAGAGATATGAACAGCTGTCAGGTGGACAGTTTACAGATAAGATGGTCTTTGTGAACCCTGGCCTTCTTGGCAAGGATTATAAATAGTTTTTTTTGTTTGCATGATTGGGCTTTTCATTTATGTCTTCACTGATTATTCTTTTTAGTGATCTAACAGGTTTTGGCATTTGCTAAATCCTGGACACTGTACTAAGTGCTCTAAGTGTTTAATTCTCATCTCCTTAGGAGATGACAGCACCATTGATTTAGTGCTATTTGTGTAAGACTCTATTCTAGTGCTTTACATATACTACAGGTTGAATATTCACTATCCAAAATGCTTTTGGATTTTGGATTTGGAATATTTGCATATACATAATGAAATGTGTTGGGTGTGGGACCCAAGCCTAAACATGGAATTCATTCATATACATGGATCTTATAGACATGGCCTGGGGATAAATTTGCCAAATATCTTTAGTGTTCCTGCTTTAGGATTACAACCTAACACATGGGATCAGATGTGGAATTTTCCACTGTGACATCATATCAGCACTTAAAATTAATTTTGTAACATTAGATCTTCCACCAGTGTTCATTTACTCTTTTTAACCATAAGGTTATTACTGCTCTTTCCCCTGCAACAATACAATGATTTATCTTACCTCATGCATCTAGTATTGGTTTTAAGGGAAAAAAAACTCAGTCTGTTTTTCTGATAATCACAGCAATGCCAGATTTCCTCCCTGAGGCACAGAAATCCTGTTGTTTTCAAGTTGGTAGTATTTTCAGTTATTTTTCAAGTACTAGAGGAAGAAGTGTGTAAAATAACAATATGTTTAGAAATGAAGCTTTTCTCCTGATTCCCTTTGCCTGAACCTCTGTGTTTTTGCTTTTTACCATAGCTGGGCCCCAGTCCAGTCTTGTCTTTGGTGTGTGTCTGCTTTTTCTCTTGCCCTAAAACATAAATTTCTCATTAGCAAAGCCAATCTCCTCTGTATTTTCTCATCACAACCTTTGCTGGGGCCTGGATTCTCATGTGAGGGAGAGGGAAAAAAATTTTTTTTTAATTGTATGGAATTAGGATGCTCATATCTTGTTTTCATGACTTATATAGCTGAAAAAGCCTGAGGAAAGATTTGCATGGATTTTTCTGATTTTCTTTCGTAGTAGGATAAGATGGGAGCTGTTTCAGTAGTACTAAGGAAATTGTCAATTCATCCCAGGGGCACAGCAAAACTAAAGTCTTTGTGAATGTGGTGCTATGAGTGGATAAGAAGAGTGCATGAGGCGAGCAGGCAGGTGTGGGCTGAGGAGCTTTTCAGACAGAGCTTCATTTTGGCCTTTAAGGACAGTGACTTTATTGTTGGCCTTAGACCTCTGAAGACAAGAGAAGAACACACAAGATAGGCATCGCATCTTCCTGGTATGCTTGGGTATCAAATAGTATAAATATACAGTAATTTATACTAAGGCTCCCTCAGATGATAGAATTTTTAATTTCCGGTGGCCTGAGAATGTAAGGAAAACACCAACTTATGCCACCGGGTCAGAATCAGTGTGTGTCATGATGGCCCTCCATAGGTCTAGGCAGAAAGTCTAAGTGATTGGGTCTCCCTGTGATTGAGATACCTTCTGAGGCATCTATCCGAAAGATTACCAGGAACACTGTGACACAGCAGTGATGGCAGTTTTAGTGGGTGTACAGGTCTTCATCCAGACTGTAACAGCCTGGTGTTCACATACACAACCACCTGTAAGGGACAGGGTAGCCCCAAAAGCTCTAAGACAAGTCTTGTACCAGTGTGATCCCAAACCAGAGGCCCTGGCCAGGACAATTGGGGCTATCTTCCTTATAGCTATACCCCTAGGTAAGAGCACTGACAATATTTACCAGGTAATTTTCTATTCCTATCTATGAAGGCACTTGGTTAAGAAAATCCAAGATTACATAATGAGATTAATGTTTGTGAAACACCACTTGGCTTACTCTGATTGCTTCTTCTTCTGTATTGTTCCTTTATTAAGTTTTATGTCATGACTCTTTCCCAAAGAAATGAAAAGACATGTATGAACTAGAACTAACAAGTCCAGGCAGTGAGAGGGAAGAAGGATATTAAAAGAGAGGTGCTCCCACAGAATAGGAAAACAATAGAGACATCCTGTGGCTGACAAAGAAGATGTCCAAATCCTCAAAGACTCTGTGCCCCTGCACCTGCTCCTAAAGTCACAGGAAGAAAGATGCCATAAGACAACAGAAACCCCAGAGAAATTTCAGGGCAATCAAAAAGAGCCAGTTTAGAGCTTTGGGGAAAATGAATTCCAGCAGAGAAGCCATTGTATCTAAAAGGAACAGCAAAAACAAGGCTTATATAAGGCAAACTTTGAGAATAAAGTGCTGAGAGGCCCTCAGGAGGGATACCATCCTTTGACAATAACTCTGAATCTAAACTAAGGCCTTTTAAGTGATTAATAGTTTAGAAAAAAAGCTTCAAGTTATAGTAGCATAAGTCAGGGCTAATCAGGGGCTGATACATTCAGAATGGGTGCCCATGCTTGGTTTGTTGTGAGAATAGATCTGAGTAAGGAGAAAGTGGTGAAGTTATTCTGCTACAGCAACAAGGTTTGTTGATAGTACAATCAAAATGAACACAGCCAACTATGAGACTGTCCACACAAACAACCAGCCAATGTCCCAACTCCAGGAAGTTAGCAGAGTCTACAAATAACAGTGGTTCCACAATCAGTAGGTCATTTTTTAGTATTGGATTGTTCCCACTGACAAGGAAGAATGAACAGAAGGAACAAAACGACAGCCTGAGAGGGGGTGGGGGTGCTAGACAGGTGGCCAGCATGTTGAGAACAATTCTCAGGGTCTGTGACTCTTAGAAAGAGGTCATCTATTAAGCTGGAAAGCAGACTGGTGCATTCAGACAGAATGTAGAAACAGTAGATGGTGAGCAAAGGTAGGTAGGATCTCCTTGGCACTGGGAAAGGAGGCTTGAGTCTGCTTGGAATACTAAGGGTTCTAACAGACCTAAGCAAAAAGTGCTTCAGAGGAAGAAGATCACTGCACACTGAAATCAGACTTATGAAAGTGAGACCAAATCAAAGTCAGGAGCAAGGCAATTTCCTCAAGGGGGTCATAGTTCAAGCAAAAAATGCCAAGTAGAAATCGTTCAGTGCATTTAGAAGTCGACCAGGTTTAGTTGGTGTAGAGGGGAGATGTAAGTAAGCAGTAGAAGATAAACTTTCAAAAATGGAGATATTAGGCTAAAAATTTTGAGCTACTTTCTCCAAATAGCAAGAGGCTATAGAAGGCTTTTAAGGGAGTGATGACTTGTGCAAAACCTAATTTAAGGAAAATTAATCATCTGTAAGTATGCAGATATATGCATAGTTGGATAGTAAATTTGACTAAGGGAGAGACAGACTATATCTGCTTTATCTATCATCATCTCCAAAGCACCTACCATGGTCAAACTCAATAGAGATGACTGATGATAGAATAAATGAAAGAAACATTGGCAGCAGTTTAGTTGGTATACAACTTCACAAAATACCCAACCATGAGCTGAGACCATGGGAGTAAAGAAACAGGGACTTCACATGCAAGAATATTGTGTAGAATCTGGGATGACGGAGAATGTAAAGTCCAGGATGACATCATTTCCTGGGAGATAAAAGTTCACAAGAGAAGCTGCATTGGTGAAGTGTTGATACATTGAACGTCATTCATAAATGTGTTTATTCACGCCATTCCTTTTATTCATTCAATTGAGAGCATTTTAGGCAGAAGGAAAGCATCAAGAAAAAAATCACAAAAGAAAATATTGGTTATTTGAAGGCGTTGAGAAGATGGTTAATGGAACGTGAGGTGCCAGGAGAGCATAGTGACATGAGGTCAGAGTGTGGTTGGGTGCTGAGTTGCAGATAGTAGGAAACGGGAGCTCAGGCCTGTGAGACAGCAGGTGGGGTCTGCTTTATGACCAGTAGAATTTCTCTGCAATTAGTCAGTGGTACTCAGAGATTGCTTGGCTCTGTGGAAACCTTGTTAAATATTTCTCACATACCAGTTTCAAAACTGAATCGATCATATTGTTCCAGGGCAATGAAGCAGGACTGCTGTGTGAGTTAGAGTTTGTTCATCCCTCACAGCTGTGATTTGGTCATAGACAGTAACAACATAATTTTATATTTTTGTGTCTACATTTTGAAACCAACAATCCTTTTCACATGGGGGAGGAATATGGTACTGTGGTTATGGTTATGAGCTCTGGAGTCAGACTACCTGGGCTTAAATCTTGGCTGAACCACTTCCTAGCTCTGTGATGCTGAGAAAATGACTTTTTTATGCTTCATATTCTAAATTTTGGCAATGGTAATAACAATAGTGCCTCCTTGACAGGTTTATATGAAGTTCTGGAAGAAATAGTTTATCTGAAGTGCTAAGAACAGCGTTTGGTACATTATGTGTTAGTATTATTGTTAGTGCTTGCCACCTTATGCAAAACATACTTGCATATTGAAATATTGGTAATATTGAAATATTATCTTGTGTGTTTTTTTATTGCAGTCATTTATTCTCATCCCCTAGTCTTTGAAATAAGACTATCATGTGCTTACTACCTTAGAGAAGGAATACCATCACAGAAAAGCAAATAAGATAATTCAGGAGTTAGTTTTAATAGCAAGAGCCTAGGTATTTGAGCTTCAAAAACCTAACTGCTGAAAAACCAGGAGAAAGTTCATGCCAGAAGGCACTGACTGGAAGAATGCTTAGTGGTAGAGGAACCAGCTTTTCTGACGCCAGGGGAGATAAGTGCTCTCCAGGCTGGGAGAGTAAAGAGGGACTGACTAATGCCTCTGGTCAGAAACTGGCTTGCATTCTGAAAAAGAAGCCTTGTGCCTGGCCCCTGGCAGTGGGGAGTTGGAAAATAGAACCTGCAAAGAGGTGTTGATGTCTAAGAAAAGAAAGCATCTGTGCCTCGCTTCCCTGGTGGGAAGCAACCTGCCTATCCACCATGTACCATGGCAGGGGAACAATAAAACAGAGATGGGTAGAAATAGAGATATGGGCATGTAGGCAGAAAGCCTTATAGAATTTCCCTTTGTCCAGCACAAGGAGAACCTGGGGTAGCATGTGAGAACACAAAAGAATCCCAGCTCACCTGGTACGTAGCAGTGGTACAAGCAAATGGCCATGGGGTTTGAGGGTCCTGGCAAATGCCAGGTAGGTGGTTGTAAGCAGTGACTAATAGCTCCATCCCAAACTTGGCACTGTGTCAGCCCCCAGGAATGTAGATTCAGTATCAGAGACAGGGGCAATCCTGGAGTGTTGTGTGGTCGGCAACTGAATTGAATGGATACAGCATTGAATGACTCCAGTTGGAATGGCAAAATGAAAAAAAAGGAAGTTCAGTTAAAGAAAGATACAGAGAAAACTTTTACTTCTGATGCACCTTTATTATAGAAAAATAGAGAAATCAGGGAAAAGTTACATTTCTTGCTGTCAACCTTCAGATGGGCCAAGAGAAGAGACTGTGAGATAACTGAGGAGAATTCGCCTGAGCACCTCTGCCTTCGTATTACGTGACAAGGTGGTGCCCAGAATAACATTGTCTTAACAGCAACATGACTTCTAAAGAGGCCAGTGATTTCTGCCCAAACACAGGAAAATAAACCAATGGAAAAAAATTCAAATTAAAGCCACTACTGGTTTTGTTAATGTGCAATTTATGTGAAAATTGCAGCATTTGCAGGAGACTCGGTCTCACCAAGCTTAAGACGGTCATGTAGCTCTGAAAAGTGTATTCCCCTTGAGTTATATTTTTAGCATTAACAGATGGAGGCTATTTGGGAAATGGCTAACACCTGTGTGCTCTGCATTTCCTGTATTTACTTAAGGCAGTTTTTTTTTTTTTCCTAGTAACCCTGTATCTTTGAGACTTTGGTCTTTGCATGGTGGCTCTGCGAGCAGGGCTCCAAATTGCAAGGCCAATTGCTATCACGATAGAGACACACTGTGTCTTTCTCTCCCTACATTCTGAGCACTCTGTTATTTCTTCTATTTATAACCTTTGGTTCTGCTTCCACAAAACCAAAGTTCTTTGGTGTACAAAGCATAACTACAACCTTCCCTGTAACAGGAATTTGAGTGAAACTTCCTTGGCTTTCTCCGAATGCAAACCCCTATTTCTGTACTTTCTGTCTTCAGGTGTTCAGGAGGCCCTTCTGTCAGCTGTCCACCTACAGCCTGATTTGGGGGATGGCAGCAGTGGTGCTGTGCACAGCACAAGGTAAAGATGCTCAATTCCCCTGCCTGGAGTCCAGCAAACGCCATGTCTGTGCTGGGGACTTAGACCACTACTGTTTGTGCTGTGCTGGTCCCATTTGTCTGCATGAATCATTGAAGCCTGTCATTTGTTGGAAAGAGTGGGCCTGGTTCTCTCTGCTTTCCACATTTTTATTTTCAGTGTTGAAGAACAATTTGATATTTAGAAGCTGTTTTCATAGATGAATTAGACTTAAGAAAAATATCCTCTCCAAAGTAAAATAAGTCATTTTTCACCTACTGAATTGAAAATCTTTAGAAAAAAGTAATTCCCTGAATTGGTAAGGATATGGGAATGGTTGGGGGACTCACAGAGGATACAGTCTTTTTGAAGGGTAACCTGGCAGTAAGCCTTAAAATGAGGTTTACCCTTTTTTTATAGAAAAAAATATAGAGATAATGAATATAGAGGTTACAAAGTTCACAGTTTCTATTGTGTAAGAGATGTGCCTGTGCTATCTACTTACCTGAATTTCTAAGTCCTGCTAGCTCTTTTCCACTTTTTGCTGTGCCTTCCTTTTTAATCCATTTAGTGTGGTGTTGGTCACCATTGGTCTCTGGCAAAAGGGGAAGATGGTGCTGGTGAGGGATGAGCAGACTTCATGCCCACCTACCGCCCTGGTTCACAGTACCCACCCACCACTGGATTTACCAGCTAACTGGAAAATCTAAGTGGATTCCACACAAGCAGCAAAGATTTGAAAATTTCCACAAAGTAACACTGTCAAGAAGAGTAACCATTAAAAAAATCACCCAAGATTTGAACCCTCATTTTGATCCTTTTTCTTCTACTCTGGATTCTAAAAGCAACAGTTTCTTCAAGTCTCTGCTCTGCAAAATCTCAACAAGCTGTCTAGAAATCTCAGCCTCAACAGGCATTGCACCCAGAACCTCTCTTGTCTTCCAAGAGTGCCAGTCAATAAATCACAGGCCATCCAACACACAGGGTCCCAGGGTGTCTCTGTTGCTTTGCCCATTTTCTGTCCCCAGTACTGTTGGGGTATCATTTGTATAGACTTTCTTTTTGTACTTATACTTACCAATAATTCATCTATTTTGTTAACTTTAAAGAACAAAATTTGGTGTTTTGTATCATCTGCATTTTGTGTATCTGTTCATTAGATTGCATTGTTGTCATCATAATTCACTTCTATATTTTAGAAGGGGAATAGGAGGTTTGAATATAAAAACATTGTATTCATTTTTCAATCTCTCTTTTTCTAATAAGTGTAATTAAGTTTAAATTTGTTCCTCTAAGAACTGTTTTACCCATTTCCACAAATTTTTTGACATACGCTCTATTGTCATTTAATTATAATAATTCATCATAACAGTCTATGATTTCTGGTATAAATAAAGAGTTAAGAGACGTGTGAAAATTTCTGATTTTATTGCACTGTGGACAGTGTTTAAGGCCTTGGAGTAGCAAAGTTTTGTAGCCAATTTAAGTTCAATTTTGTAAAATATTTGGAGTATTTTGAAAAGATTATAATTCTCTCTTTGAGTAATATGGTGTATATATGAGTAATATACACACATACACATAAAATATATAGGGTATATATGAATGTTAAATATTTAAATTAAATATAGAAGGTATATGTGTCTATTTTATCAAATTTTCAATGTCTTTATATTTGAGGCTTTTTGCTTTAATGATTTTTTTGATGTATGGAATTGAGGATTCTGATATATCTATCTATCTATCTATATATATATAAAGCTCTCCTGTCATAGTTGTGGATCTACAAATGCTTATTTGTAACTTTATTAGTTTTTGCTTTATACATTTCAGAATTAGGTTGCCAGGTATGTCAGGATTTTTGATTAATATATCTTCTTTGGAATGATCCTTTCCTCATTTTGAAAAATAATTGTTTCTCCTTATAGAGCTTTGTCTTCCGTTCTCCCTTTTCTCTCCTTGGTTGAAGAGAGACTGATGTTGGAATAGTTAAGCCTACTCATTGAGTTTTTCTTTAATCCCTTTCATATTCTCATCCTTTCCTGATACGTTCTGAGAGAATGCCATGGGCTGACCTTTCTGCCTACTAATTTACTCTAGTAAATTCATTCATTTTGCTAAATTGATCAATATGTTGGGATTTTGTATTTCTCACTTTCCAAGTATCTGATTTCTACTATTTGTAATTGTGTCTTATTTATTCAGACAAAGTATTTTTTGATTGATGATATCTCTGTTCATTTGATATGAGTTCTTGGGTTTGTAGTGTTTATTATCCTACTTCCATTGTATTCACTTTCTCAAATGTTTGGCTATTTGTTATTACAGAGGTCTCCCATTAAATCATTTGTCATAGTATAAGTGGTCAGCATTGCAGAGGAGAAGAAATTATTGTCATAACATTCAATGAAAATGGAGCGTGCATAGTTTGTCAATGGGGTATCAAAGCTTCAAGGAACTACAAACCTCCTAGAGCACTGTCTTGCATATCTGTTTACCTTATGTGCCTATATTCAACTTCTGCTTTCTGGATGCAGATACCTCTGGAGTACACACGCTCCTTTGCAGAGTCTGTGTGTGTGTGTGTGTGTGTGCATGTGTGTAATGTTTATAGCTGCTCCATCTTCTTTACTTAAGCTAATTCTTTTGCCTGGTGTGCTATAGCCCTTTCTTGCTCTTGGCTTCTAACTTTCTAAGCATGAACACATTCAATGACCCTTCTAACCTGCCTGGTAGTTGTCATCTTCAATCTCATTCTACTTATTTTCTAGCTTACAAGGATTTCTCACAATTTCTGGTCGAGCATTTTCTTTCTTATAATATTCTGCTACTCTACTTTTAAAGATTGAACAAACATATATTTCTCTACCAGCATATAGGTATGTAAATAAATTTTGGTTTCTTCTTTCCATTTTCTCTGTTTGACTTTCAACATACATTGTATTTGTTACTAGGAAAATGTATATGTTTTCCTGCATGTATTTATGTATGTATTAAAGTTTTAAAATACAAATGTTCTTTCATGGTTCCGTAGTGGAAGTGGTGACCCAGGATGAAAGAGAGCTGCTGAATACACCTGCATCCTTACGATGTTCTCTACAAACTTCCCAGGAAGCCTTGATTGTGACATGGCAGAAAAAGAAAGCTGTAAGCCCAGAAAACATGATTACTTACAGCAAGAACCATGGGGTTGTGGTCCAGCCTGCCTATAAGGACAGGGTCAACATCACTGAGCTGGGACTCCGGAACTCAGCCATTACCTTCTGGAATACAACATTGGAGGATGAGGGGTGTTACATGTGTCTCTTCAATATGTTTGGTTCTGGGAAGATCTCAGGAACAGCCTGCCTCACCCTCTATGGTGAGAATCTCTGAAAATATATCATATTTCTAAGAATGTTTGGAACATTATAGTGCCTAGTTTTTCAGTTTCCTAATCACAGAAATGTTTGCTGGAAGATTAGGCTGTCATGTCTACTGTAGCTGTTGTTACCGTTTTTAGAGTGTTCATGGTTCTACACTGAGTTCTGACTGGAACTGCCTTTTCTGTGAGTGTCTTGTTGTCAACAACATTGAGGACAATGATGAAGGCAACAAGTTCTCCAGTAACAATGACTTGATTTACACTTGGCTTTACTATTAGCAGTCATGTAACCCTAGAAGTGTCCTGTCCACTCTCTGCATCTGAGTTTCTTTGGAAATAAGTATACAAAAGATTATTTCTAGAGTCCCTTACAGCTTTAACTTTCTGGACCTAAGGACAGAGTCACAGTGGGCTAACCTGGAACTGGTCATAGTGGCCTTGTTGTTTTGCTTCAAGGTAGCTGTTTCAGGATTAGTAAGGGTGCATTCAACAGAGGCTCATTATACAGAAATGATGCCAACTAGGGATATAATTGGATCATAAACATTCTTTTAAAATCCAATAGGCTTAGTTTGATGAGATTCCTCTCTTCTTTCTGACACAGCTGAGATGAAGGATTAGGAGTAGGAATATGGATTACTTTTGGAGCATGGCATACTTGATGGTGGTTTGGAAAGGGATAAGACAAACTTAGGGTTGTTAGGAACATTAAAGCAAGATGTTAAGCATGTGAGAATATTGGCCATGGTAGAAAAGGAGATTAGTTGGTAAGAAAGCAAGGGAGATATGACAGCATCAAACACAGTCTCTTTCACTTACTTTACCTATGATGTGTCCTCTCTGTAGAATCTTATATCAGGCTTTCATCTTGATTTCACTTCATTCATTTTCTGTCTGTCTCTCTGCCTACCTTTCATCCCTCATTTTCATCCTCTCTCCCCCCTTTCTATTTCATTCTTTGTTTTCCTTCGAAAGTCGTATTTTCCTCATTTCTTTCATCTTTCTTTCTCCTACCCATAATCTTTTGTATTATTTTTCCCCTGAAAACCAGACTTTACCTGATAGCTTCCATCTGTGCTATTCTTTGATACCCCAAAGCCACAATTGTATAGCTGTGCATTCCCCAGATACTGCCATCTACCCACTTGTTAAATCTAAAATCAAATACCATTTTTTGTTTACCAATGCTCTCTAATTATCTTGTGGGTTTCAAAAGCCAAACACAAAAAGTACCGTCTGTACTTCTTGGAAGAGATAAACTCTGCATTCCAATGAAAATTAAGTCAACAGTTAGAGAACTTTGAAAATGGAACAATCTACAGCAGGCCTGAAAATTATATATTTTACCCATAAGCTAATTAACTCTACCAGGTGATCTTCAAAATCTTTCTAATGGTCATTCATTGACTTTTCTGGTTATGGGATATGAATTCCTAGTTTGCATTTTGGGTAAATCTATCAACTGGAGATTTTCCACATTTCCTCTTTGGATCTCACTTACTTGTCCAGCTTTAAGAAGAAGATGACTATTACTGTGTATGCTGTTCCATACTTACCTCACTGCTTCTGATGGTTGCAAGTGATATGCATAGAGGTGCAGTTGGGGATTGCTTTTAAGCTATTTGAGACTAATACCAAAAAGAAGGCAAAGGTGTTGAATTGCTCCTGAAGAGGAGGACAAAATAACTGTTTGGGAGAGAAGGATATCATCTGACTTCTTAATACCTCTATCCATCTGGCCAATTCTGGTAGAGACAAACTACAGACAGGTACTTTCTTATCAGAGGTTTGGACCAGGCTGCTTTCCATCCTGCAGGTCAAAGAATGAGTCACAGGAAGAACTGGGAAGGCCCCAGAGTGGGGTAGGATATGCCAGTTTATCTGTACCCCTGTCCCCCACCCCACCCCACCCCCCATCTTTCTGTAAGGATCTGTCTCCCATCTTTGTAAGAAGAATACAAAACTCAGATCAGGTGCTTAACTGATGGCAGATCATATTTTTTTGTCCCAGTACAGCCCATAGTATTCCTTTACTACAATTTCTTTGAAGACCACCTAAATATCACTTGCTCTGCCACTGCCCGCCCAGCCCCTATGATCGCCTGGAAGGTCGCTGGGTCAGGGATTGAGAATAGCACTGAGAGTCTGTCGCATCCCAATGGGACCACATCTGTTACCAGTATCCTCCGGGTCAAAGACCCCAAGAGTCAGGTGGGAAAGGAAGTGATCTGCCAGGTGTTGCACCTGGGGACTGTGACCAACTACAAGGAAACTCTGAGCAAAGGTAAGAGAAGGTGAGCAGAGGTGGCTATTGTTGCATCTCTGCATACCCACCTGGAAGGTGAAAATGTTCTTTAGAGACTTTTAGCTTCTCATTAAATACAATAATTAGGGAGAAAAAGGGGTAAGTATGAAAAGAAACAAAGTTGAGGAAGCAAATAAAACAAGTTTTGTAGTAGTCTTCCTTTATTAACAAAAGATACATTCTTAAGACCCTTCAATGGACACCTGAAAGTGTATATAATATCAGGACCCATATATCCTTTATTTTTCATATAGGCATACACATACATGTAATTAAGTTGACTTTCTAGATTAGACATAAAACGTTAACAACAAACACTAATAGGAAAATACAATTTAACAATGTTCTCTAATAAACGTGTGTGTTGAATCCATTATTCATTAATATAAAAGAGTTATTTGAACACAAGCACTGTGATAATGATCTGATAACCAAGTAAGCTACTGAGTACCAGGCACATAGCATGTACAATGTGGTTATGCTGAACAAACCCATGATTTACATCCTAGGTGGGATGGGATAAGATAATAAGAGATATCATCACACTACTTTAAATGGCATATAATTTAAAATTTATGAATTATTTCTGGAATTTCCTTTTTAATCTTGTTGGACCACAATTGACCATGGATAACTAAAATTATGGAAAGTAAAATCACACATAAAAGCTACTACTGCACTTTGGTAAATGTGATATAGCACATTGGCCACATACTAAATGCAGTTAGTGATAGTCATTCATTTATTTACTACAGTCTGCTCAGATTAACTGTTGAGTGTCTGTTGTTTGCCTTTGTATTGAAAGCAAAAAATACAACTGCAAGCAAGTACGCAGTACATACATTCAGAGAACTTCTAGTTTACTAGAGAATACAGAAAAGCATCTGAACCAGGTTTGGTGATTCCCATCTATAATCCCAGCACTCAGGATGCTGAAGCAATAGGATCTAAAGTTAGAAGCCAGCCTGGGCTACATGGCCAGACCCTTTCTCAAAGCACCAGCAAAATACTTAGAAAAGTATCTGGTCAATTGCAAACTTGCATGTTTAAATTGTTAATTGTAAACTCACATGTGAAATGGAAGGGTTGAAGGTGAGGAAGGCCAGGCATCACCTCAACCTGGAGGGAATGGGGAGGTTTCCTGGATGATGCAACAACTGTAATGGAATCCGTGTATAGTTCACACTGGGAAAGGGCAGATCTGAAGTGTCTTCATCACTCTTGTAAGACAACCGCCTCCCATTCAAGTCCCCTTTGCTCTACTATGTTTCCTTCTAAACTGCTGTCTCTGGGCCACATAGACGTGAGAATTGCGCATGAGAGAATAAAGAGCACAGTGATTTTAGAGATAAGAAATTGTGGTGATGTCAGCCACTCTATGTAGTTTGAAGCAATGACTCTTTCTTAATGAAGCATTCAGTAATAAGCCTCCCAAAAATATTGCTGCTATTTTTGGAGGGTATTTTTTCCAAGGAAAATCTCCTGTAGGTATTTCTGTGTTCTGTCAGAAACTCAGACTAGTCAGAAAATGGATATTTAGGTAACTTTGGTCAAAAGGCAGGCAGTATTATGTTTAAATATTTGTGAAGAGAGCCTTGCTCAGATTCAGCCAAGGCAAAGGGCAAATTTCCCTGAAACACAAGAGCCCAAAAAGGAAATATCTTTTCCAGGAACGCTAAATTTAGCTCACGTCACTTAAATGTTTAATATTGTTTGTATAACGTTTGTTTATCCTGTGAACATTTACTAAATACCTATCATGCTGAAAGTATTACGGAAAGCACTGAAACTATAAAAAATAGGCAAGTCCTGTCTGAAGGTTCTCAGTTAAATTGGGTTGTAGTAAATGCCATTATGCCATAGCTGCTGGACACTTCTGTGTCAAGGAGCTCCTCCTTTGCTTTGTCTTACAAAGCTGATTCTTAGCCAAGTTGCATTTATTGATTCCTGGAAAGAGATTTAATAAGTAAGATATTGATTACAAGAAATGCAATAAAAGCACTGAAATTCTGGATTGAGATCATGAGGTTCATGATATTTTTCCTTTATACTTCTGAATGTTTTTTCAAAACTTCTTCAATAAATTCACATTACCTTAATGGAAAACATGGTAAAGAATATGTGCTTTGGAGGCAAACAGACTTTTGACTAAGCCCTGGCTCTATATTTACTTCCCTGACTGGAGCTCACTTAGCTTCTCTGAGCCTCAGTTTGTTTGTTTGTTTGTTTGTTTTTAAATCTGTTAGATAATAGCTAACTCTTCGATTAAGAGGATTAAATGAGCATTAAATGACCTAACACATACAAAGATCCTCTTATGTAGTGACTGCAAAAAACACATTAGCTATTACTAATGTCACTAAATATTATTAAAATCATGTGAAGTCATGAATATAACCTTGGTCAGTATATATTTAAGGATAGTCTTAACTGAAAGCTCAAATCTAGTAAAACTCTTTGTAACTGGTGCTTTATCACTTTTTGCCTCAATAGCTTCCTCTTGTGACTCTATTTTTCTTTTTCTCCCTTCAATATCCACAGGCTTTTGGTTTTCTGTTCCTCTGTTGTTAAGCATTGTTTCACTCATAATTCTTCTGGTCTTAATCTCAATCCTATTATACTGGAAACGTCACCGGAATCAGGACCGAGGTAAGTTATCATAGGAAGTGCAAAGTATGAAACAACTTAGTTTTTAATGTTAATTTGGGGGTTATTGAAGATATAAATAGGGGGCTCTCAATGGTGCTTTGCTTGGTGTTTGCAAAATACATAAAGGTTGGTGCTTTTTTAAAATGCATCAAGGTCATTTTCTTGCAATTGGACCTTTCTCTTTTTCATTTGCTAAGATAGTTTGATGCTTACTTATTTTATAAGTTGACAGTAAGGGTTTATGAAAACAAATGAAAAATGTTTATTGGATCACAGTGGCATCACTTGTTGGCAAAACCAAAGAAAGAAGTCTGGCACCCATACAGGGTCCTCTCTACCTGTTAATAAGGACAATCTTTTCTCTTTTTACAGCATTCCACAAGCCAGCTGCCCATTTAAGAGACTGTGAAATTGTCCAATATGATCACTCATTAAATAGCACTTCCTATGTTATACTCCCATGATGTCTCAAACACTATCGGCAACATACAGGTGATCCACACTTAGTCATTGTGTCATGTCATTCTGCCCTTCTGGCTGTAAATTTTTCGTTATCCCTACATCTATCACAGCATCTTACATATATCAGGAACTCAATAAATGTTAATTTATTGAACGAATGAATGAATGAAGGTAGGATGGATAGATTTCCAAAGTAATTTTTCAAAATCCTTTTCTCCTATTGTAAATTCACTACCTCATAAATGCCACATTTAAGACATTAGGAGGCCTTATAAAATAGGAGATGCCATAAAATGAGAGAAGTAAGTCAGAGAATTAAATTTCTTTTGGTTTCTTTGGTTTCAAGTTACTGGACTGAGTACAGAGTTACAGTTTATGTTATATGAAATGGGAATTTCCTAGGGTGAAGGGGTAATATGGGAGTTTCCTCTATCTCAGATGACTGAAGGTCAGGGGTCAAGGCAGAAAAATTTTGGTTTTGAGTGTTATTATGTTGATTGGAAATCTCCCTCAAATACTACCTTATTTCCCTTTTCATTTTATGTTTCATATAGTATATTTTTCATGTTCTAGGTTTTCGACCACTTTATTTTATATAAGTTTTATGCAAACACTGGATTAATTCTTGTGCATTTACAAAATAAACAGCAAATCTGAAGTCACTGGCCCTTTTGCAAAAGTAAATAAAGCAATTTGTTGTCTGGGAGAAGAGATTATAGATCAGATAATTTTATTGCACAGAAACATAAAGCCCTTAGAACACCTAAGTGTTCCACAGAATATCAAAGGCAGAGTCTCTTTGCTTTTAGCTTATCCAAACATTTCACTTTTTCAGTTAGGAAATTGAAGTCCAGAGAAGGAAGTAACTTCCTTCCCTAAGATCACATAGCAACTTGTAGCAGGCTAGGACTCCTGACCTCTTCCAGAATTGTTCTTCCCAATGATTACTAATGCACTAGAGGCCTATCTTGAAAGAATCTATTGTTGCCAATTGCCTTCATTTTAATCTGTGCTTACTGTGCTATTCTTTCAGAAAATGCAAATAGAAAGTACAAAGTATTTAAATTCATTTAAAAATGTCCCTTTTGGACAAGTCTTACAGTACAATATATTCAAGCCTAAAGTAAATTCCACTAGAGACTATCCACAGGGATATTTGCAAATCAACAGCCCTGTGTTCATTAAGTAAGTATTGAATTTTCTGGGAAATATAATCATTCAATGCCTTCTCTAATTCTTGAAAAGAACCAGTTTATCTCTGTGCCCAAGCTTTTTCTTATTATGAAATTGACACCCCAACTTGTGTTGACTCCTGTAAACAATAAGATTACCATTTGTCAATGACATATTCCTGACATATAGCCAATTCAGTCAATTTTTCTGAATGGTAAGGGGACATATTTTGAATGAGTTGGTTTTTGACTGATTTAAAAAATTTCACAGCCAAAGAGAATATAATTCCATGCAGTTATAGCTAGTGAAAACAAGTGTCAATTATGCTGGAAAGAAGCTTCAATGCTCAAAGCCAGAAGAATACTGGTTTATTAAAACCAAAACCTTAAGTTATACACAAAATTTTGAGGAAGGGAAGAAAGTCATAAAATACAGTGGCACTTTTTATTTCTTCAAGTAATAAATTCTGGTGATTAACTTGTGAGAAAGGGGACTAGTCCTATGTATTAACCTACCATTTTCCTTCCTTTTACTTCTATTTTCATCTTTTTTTTGAAAACATAAAACTTTTGAATGGGTAGTGAAACAGCAGACAAAACCAACATCAGGGTTCTGAACCCAGTGACTTAAAAATGTTGATGTGAACATAAATGATGAAGTGAGAAAGTGGAACTGATCGTGTGTGTGTGTGTGTGTGTGTGCATGTTCAGAGTTTGTCATGAGGTAAAGAGAAGGAGAAAGATGAATTTGTTGAGTGTGAGCAAAGACTCTTTGATAAATGACCAGAACAAAGTTTATTTGGGCTCTTAATCCAAAATAAGACGTCCCAAATAAACCCACTATTCATTGTCCACAAAGTGTAAGCAAATCAATATTTCCTACACAGAAGGGTAATGTGTAGTGACAGATGCTGTCTTCACGTGGAAGTTAGGTTCCCCTTACTTTTCTTGCGATTTTGTACGAGAGAGGAGCATTGTGTGCTATGTTTTTCAGCTGTAAAGCTGCACTCTGGAGGAAGAGATGAAGCGTTAGTAGGCCATTTCTCTGCACCATTTCTGATGGGATCATCACAGTTATTTCCCTGAAGACTACCCCCAAAAGAGTAATAAGAGCTCAGAGAATGTGATTTTTTCTTTTATGAATACAATACTTTATTACTTAAATAGAAAGTGAAAAAGAACTAAAATTTCCAAGGGAAAATTTCTACTACTTCATAGTAGTTCTTTCTATTAAAACTCAATGATGTCATAAATCCATGCCTTCTCCATATAGCACAATGAAGTTAAATTCGAGGTTGAGAATAATGTCTTATTTCTCATTAGTCAACCCACAAATGATTACATGTTTCTCAGACACAATTAAAGAAATTCCCTTTGAGCAGATCATCATAACCTAATTTTGAGAACTCTATTTTGAGTAGCTATTTTCTTCGGTTAATTCAGGACTCATTTGGAAAACAATAGAAAATTTAGATAATCATGTGAAATGCATATGCTAAGCTTTACTTTTTCTTCAAGTAGTAGCTATTCCATGTAGAAGTTTATTTTTCGTCATCTCTAAGTTGATTTCCTGCATGTCACAATAACCTGACCCATGAATGGGCTCTTGGCAATACAACAATATGAATGTTAGTAAAACACTAGTTCCTGGGTGGGAGCATGGCACTTTTTCCTATTTTGAACTTAGTACTATATCAAGCAACAAAGGCGTTCAACAAACAATAGGTGATTGCAAAATTGGTATTTATTTGGAAGGACAATAAAAAGAATATTTGTTCCTATAACAATAAGAATCTTTCCTTTGCTAAAAAATTGTTCCCATCCTTCTCAGACAAAGGCCAAATGAGTGGTTATCTTACCCCAACCCCCACCAGTATCCCCATAGTTCCAGGAAGGAAGGGGAACCTTTATTGTACTGCTCAGGTTAGCCTTGCCAGGTGAAATCTTGCACTCCACAAGGTTGTCTTTCTCAAAAACATTTACAACTTTACAATTTTTGAATGTGTACAAATGTCCCTCATCATGCCAAAAATGACATGGCATAATTTTATCACAAAGTTCTTAACTAACAAACCTTAAAGCCTGGACATTCTTACCTGGAGCTGTTCTTTTAACACCTAAACCCATATTGGCTTAAGTGGCCTAAATTTTGAATTTCATTCTATGGTTGGAACACCTCCAAGCATCAAAATATTTCTGCCTCTACCCAGCAGATAAACACCAGCTTGGTTCTTAAATGGGACACTCCTTCCCTTGTATTTAAGGAGATTAGCCATCAGGAATAGTATCATTTGTGAGACAAATTAATGAAAAAACAAGAAGGATGAGAAAATCTTCCAGCTGAATAGTCCTGCATCATTGTTGCTTTCAAATTTTAGCTTATATCCTTTACCAAGTATCTATCATCAGTTGCATTGTTTGGAGTTGCTATGAATTTCATCAGTATAATCATATCCATACCAATAAACTTGGCTCTGAACAGATCCTTCCAAGCTTTTAGTCCATACTATTAGAGAAGCAAACGTTACAATATTTTAAATGGAAAACATTACATTTAAAAATATACAACATGGCTTAACTGAAGAGGAAACGCTGCAAATGCTGGATTAATATTCTGCATTTTTTTTATTAAATTAGCACAAACTTAGCTCCTCACAGCATCACAAGTTTATTATATTACAGTTCTGAAAGTTAAAAGTCCAATATGGTTCTCACTGACCTAAAATCAAGGTGCCTACAGGACCATAATCTATTCTGGGTGCTGTAGGAGAGAATCCATTTTCTTTCTTTATCCAGCTATTAGAGATTGCCCACAATTCTTGCCTTCTGCCTTCAAAGCTAGCAATGGCTAGGTAGGTCTTTCTCATATTGAATCACTCTAACTTGGACTCTCCTGCATCCTTCTTTCCATTGTAAGGATCCTTGTGTTTATATTGGGCCCACCTGTGTAATCTAAAATAGTCTCTCCATTACTAGATTTTTAATTTAATCACATGAACAAAATCTCTTTTGCCATGAAAGGTGACATATTCACAGGTTCTTGGAATTAAATGTGGACCTTGTGGAGCACCATTATTATGCTCCCACAAATGCTAAGAGAGGGATGATAGTGAACTGGGTAAAGGGGCAGCAAGTGCAAACATTCTGTGTCTGTAATTCCATAATATTTATCAAAGACCATCAGAACCAGGTCAGAACCTCTGAACACATCACTTTGGCATTCTCTTTCACATTCCTTCTCCTTCCAACAAAGCAAGACTTGATTTTTCAAGGTTATATTTTGTCTCTCAAGCCTATAACACAAATGTTTAACTTCTGCTTTCTTGTACTCATCATCACTAACTGTAACATTACAAAAAAATTCTCTAAATTGGAATCTCAATTCTTCTGCATTTTCTTCTCTCTACTTACACCCCCCTCATAGAAGCAGGTCATTCTGACTTTTTAAAATATCTTAGTCATAATTAAGTTCACTATATTCTATATAGGAAATCAATGTAGGGAAACTATAGTTATTGTATGCAGTGATATCAGGCATGCCCAAATGGTCTCTCCCCATTTATTATAACTAAATAAAATGGGATTTCTGGGTCCCTCCATACTTGCAGAATCATATTATGAGGCTATTACAACTTTTAGGCCCCCAATATTTCCCATATCACTCTTAGAATTCTTTAAAATCCCTACCTATAGACCCATATTGATTATAAAAGCCTATATACATTAAAGCAGTTCTTTCACTAACAGTTCTTTAAAAAAAAAAAACAGAGCTAACCTATGTCATGTAGAAAAATTGGGAAAAAAAATCCTTAGGGTGCTTAGTACAGTTTATGTAAATAAATTTAGTCTCTATAACAATCATGTTATAAAAACAATTTTCCCTAGCAAATAATGAACAAGTGAGTTTTTGTAATACAAAGAAGAGTTTTGCAAAAATCATAAATCAGTGTTCTATCCTCAGTGTCATGAGAGACAATTAATGGAAACTTCTGTGGACAGGAGAGCAACACAAGGGAACTTCTTATCCTTGTTAGCAAACAAATAAGACAGAATTTCACTATGATTGATCAATGTTCCTAGATCTAAAAGTGTCTGCAGTTACTGGTTTGTAAATTCTTCAACTTTCTCCCACATTTAAACAACAAAAAGAAAGGGGCTAGCCCTGTACGTTGTGAGTCCTTTAAAGATTTTTTTTAATAAACACCTCTGAGACTTATATACATCAGCTTTTTAATCTTTATTTAAGTATGTGTTATTAATTTTTATTGTTTTTAAATTGACAAGTAAAATCGTGTGCATCTATGATGTAGAACATAGTGTTTGGCTATATGTATAAATTGTGGAATGGAAAAATCAGGCTAATTCACACATTGTTCCCTGACATACTAATTTTTCATGGTGAAGAACACTTAGACACTATGCTCTCAACCATTTTTGAGTATACAATATATTGTTAGTATAGTCACTATGTTGTCCAGTAGATCTCTGGAACTTGTCCTCCTGTTTAACTGAAATTCTTTTAATCTTAACCAAAGCTGCATGAAATAATTGAGAAGTTAACTACATTATTTTATCTCTATATAGTATTTCTACTTCAAGAATTTTAAAATTTTAACTACTTTGACAAGGGTGATTATGAAAAACATACAAGATTATTTATTTTCCAGTCATTATTTTTATTTGCATCTATGACCAATTACTCAGTGATTTTGATTAAGTCCTGGCTCTTTTCAAATTAACTGACTAACTACCATTGGAGAAATCATTTAACCTCCTCATGCCCCTCTTTCCTCATTTGGAAGATGGGGATAATAATTGTACATAACTCATAAAAGTGTTGAATTTTCTAATTGCATGCAATTAGAAAAGTAGCTATGACCAGTGGTATGCTGGGAAACTAGCTTGGTAGAAAACTGATGGAGTTGTTTTGCCAATTTCTGTGGTGTAAATGTTTTAATTTAAAGTTACCAACAATTTAGCCATCAGCATAAGCCAATAACACTTTAGTGCGCTAATGCAGCTTAGTAATTTTCTAGCAAATGTTAGTTTCTGTTATTCTTAAATACATAGTGTCTTGGTTTTGTCAATGTGTATTTTCATGAAGTGTGCACAGGATGAAAAAGTGTCAAATTTAAAGAGATAATGGAGGGAATGACAGAGGATAATGACAGGCAGGCTTTCAGGAAGATGTCAGAAACTATCTGAATTTGTTTGA